TTAGCGGGCTTGGTAGTTACATTTAGCGTGTCTGGGACTTCTGTCTGGGACATGTCTGGAACAACATGTCTGGGCCATTGTGTTTGGGGCATGCCCATTTAGTGGGCTTGGTAGTTACATTTAGCGTGTCTGGGACTTCTGTCTGGGACATGTCTGGAACAACATGTCTGGGTTGCAAATGAATGGCTACAGTCCCTTTTATTCCCAGGCCTAGGAAATGGGGACCCCCTGCCCACCCTCCAGCCTGCTGGTTCTGCTGCTTGCTGCCACTGCACCAACCTTGCCAAGGCGGAGGCAGCAGGTCCGTGCCCCCCAGCTCCACGAGCTGGCTGGCATGCCACTTGTCCTGTATCACCAAGGCTCCCTATAAGGTTAATTTATAATTAATTAATTAATTGAATTAATGATTCGGGACCTAGTTTTCTCTGTGCATATAAACAAACCTACATGACATAGCCGTAGATTGGAGCAGCAGCTTTACCCCGGCAGCTGGTTGCACAGATAGACACGCAGCTGTTAGAAACACAAGAACATGAAGAATCAGCAGATTCAAAGCCAAGAAAGTTAATGTCAAAAGCATTGGCTGAAGCCTTTCCTCTCACTGAAGCAGGATTTGCTAAGCTTCAGGCGTGAGGCCCTAACATTGAGTGGTTTACAAAGGTTTACCTCCCAAATAGTGAGACCATCAGCTTCTGGCCATTTGTGATTAAAGAAAAAAGCCGTGTGAACAACCCAGGATATCCTTTTCAAGAAATGGGCTTCAGTGGTAAGCGTCCCTCCTCCACCAAGAGAAACAAATCCTGATTCTCCCTAACCTGCTCCATCCTGTCCAGAACCATATTCATTATCATCTTCTGATAAAGGTTAGCCTACCTTTTTGCCTCTCAAACGGCCCTTCCAGTAAGCAAGACATTGGTGCAACGTTAGTTGTTAATCGTTAATATTCTTTTTTGAAATTTCTCCTATCTCCTATGGAAAGTTTTTGTAGGAGCTTGTTTTCACTTGTTTGTTTGAATGAAAAGAATAAGCACGATGGTTTCTGTAGCTTAATATGACAGTACTGAGTCATTATCATGACAGTATTACCCGCCACATGAAAGCCCTTATAGTATTATTATTATTACTACCATATATGTGCTGTTCATCAGGAATCCACCTTACATGCAAATCCGACCTCAAGACTTTCTCAGGAAAGCATCACCCCAGTGACCCAGGGCTTGCCTGTATTTTATAATGTTCTATTGATCCGCTGGTGGTAGCTTAGGCCTGTAATCTTAGCACTGTGGGAGGCCGAGGTGGGAGGATCCCTTGAGTTCAGAAAACCAGTCTGAGCAAGGGCGAGACCCCCCCCACTCCGTATCTCTACTATAAGTAGAAAAATTAAAAGGACCCTTCAGGAGGCTCAGGTGGGGGAAATCTGAATTCAGGAGTTCCAGACCAGCACGATGAGCAAAAAGAGACCCGATATCTACTAGAAGTAAAATAAAGTAGGTGGGCTGAAGGCTGAGGCAGGAGGATTGTTCAAGCCCCAGAGTTTGAGGTTGCTGTGAGCTATGACGTCACAGCGCCCTACGGCGGGTGACAAAGTGAAACTGTCTGAAAAACAAAACAAAACACCCTCACCCCCAAAACTAGAGGGGCGTTGTGGCGCGGGTCTGTAGCCCCATCCACTTCAGAGGCTGAGGCAGGAGGTTCGCTTGAACCTCGGAGGTTGAGGTTGCTCCAGCCTGTGGCGTCCCAAGTCAGAGGCTGTTTTAAAAAAAAAAAGAAGGAAGAATTTTCCATCGATCCCTTAGCCATGTAGTTGCTACTTTATTAACGGTCCCTAGAAACGGGCGGGACTTACCGGAAATTTGGCTGCTTTTGTTTTCGAGTCTCGCCGCGGCGTGATTCAGAGCCCTCGTGACTTCGGGAGCAGGTAGGCGGGTACGCCGCGGTCCCGGGGCTGGACGCCAGTCCCCGGCTCTGAGGACTCAGAACCGCACATTCTAATTCCCTGGGCCCCGATCCGAAACCTGTAAGAGCTTTCTCGAACTGCAAGCCCAAGAGGTGGGGAGTTTAGTCCGAGTGCGGGTCTCGGGGCGCGCTGCAGATTTGGCTGCTGAGGGGAATCTCGTGCCTGCTGCCGCGGGGAATTTACTCAGGCTCTAATCTGAAAGCCTCTCTTCCTGCTTTTATTTTCTTTTACTTTACTTTTCTCTTTCTTTCCTTTTCCCCTTCTTCCTTTGATATAGACAGTTGATGTTTTCTTAATTGTACGGACTTTTATGTTGCGGGAATTTGGTTCGTAAGCCTTCACCCGCCCCAATCGATTGCAGTCCCTTAACGCTGCTGTCCGTTCTGTGAAGACCAGGACATTAGAAATCTAGGATTGAACATGGAAGGACTACAGGACTCTCTGATTCGGTCCGAGCCCCACTCTGCATCCCTGGTTCTTGGCCACTTTCCAGGTTTTCCCCTCGTCTGCGGTAGAGCCGCGTTCACGCAGGCGGTGCCACCGGCGCCTCCCGGCTCCCTCCTGCCGGAGCCCGGACTCTGTATTCCTGAGGGTCCGGCTGAGAAGCAGCTCCCTGGCTCGGGGAAAAGCCTTCCCTTCTCCATCTTCCTCAGATTCGAGGCTTGCTTTCACCTTGGTCAGCCGCTATGGCCAGTCTCCCCTATGCTTTGCTGAAGTGCCGCCCCGAGAAACAGAACTGATTCTGATGCGAACGAATTTTTGTTTTTACTGGAAAGGGGAGGGGAGGGAAGGTGCAGAATAGCAAATTTCCCTCACTCAGGGTTTTGTTCGGGTGTTAGGATCGGGGAATTAAGCCTGTTTCTTTGTAGGAGACGTCGGTCGGCTCTGTTTCCCGCTCACAGACACCCTTGGTGAGTAGTGCCCAGCCTGACTTCTTTGCTTACCTGACACGGTTTTTTTTTTTTTTCAGCTTTTTCACGCCTGTGTGATCCTCCTGCCTTAAGGTCCCTGTTGGTGTTAATAGAAATTCTTCTCTCCCCCACCTCCAGCTTTTTTTCCAGAGAACCTGCCCCAGTCAGGCATCTACACGGAAGCTCCTTTCCTTTTTATTTATTTATTTATTTTTATTTTTAAATTGTTTTTCCTAAGCATTGTCTGTTTACCTCACACCTGCTGCTGCTGTGTTGCTATCAAATTGTGTACCATTTCGCTATAATCAGTTTTTATCGATTGGCCCCAAATCATTGCAGATATGAGTTGAAAAGCCTGACGTATGAGTGCTGATTTGAGGAGATGAGGCAGAGTGTCTCCGAAACACCCTTGCCCTTAGCTGGGTGAACAACAAGGACATTAACATGGATTGGGGTGGGGTGTTTTCAGGGGTGATTAGGGCGAGCCTAGAGGGTGTAGAAATAGTCCTGTCCAACGCTTCAGAAGCCCTGAGGCTGGTGATGATTCAGAGATTATCTGGCTTGTTGGGCCTTAGGGAAGGTTGGTCTTCCGGGACTTATCTTCCCCTGGGCCACTGGAAAAACACGTCACCTTCATTTTTCTTGAGTATTTTCTGTGTGTCAGGAAATGCCACTTGAGCTCGGTAAAAGATGTTTTCAGTAAAAATCTCCCTCACTGGTGCTGGGGATTGCAGGTCAGTTAATGCTTTGACAAAACGGGAGAGGCGAAGCAAGCAAATGATTCAATTCATAACGGTTCCAGAACATTTTCCAGGGGTGCTGGGGATCATCACTGGGACCAAACAAACAGACTCTCTGGATAAAAAAAAAAATCATAATGTAAATCATAACCAAGACAGGGAAAATTTCTCTCTTTGTTATCATATTATCTGAAATGGTTGTCCAAGATTTTAATAGAATTTCACAGCCTGGTCTAAAATACAGGGCATGAACACAAGTAATAGTTACATACCTCAGATTATCTTGGACAGAGAAAAGTGACTTCAATTATGAGTCCCCAAATCAAGCAGGCTACCGTACAGGAGTCCATTTGGGATCCTGCACCTTCTCACATACAGAGCTCTGCTTAGCATGATGCAAAGTGCATAGCAACAGAGGCTTATTAAACACCAGGGACAACAGCAGTAGGAACAATGCTGATACCGATCTTAATTGATTAAGTGCCTCCTGTGGGCCAGGTGCTATTCCAGGGACTTCACATATATTAATTCCTATAGGATGTGCAGGTATTATGATTCTCATTTTATAAAAACAATACTGAGTTTCAGAGGGCTTAAATCAGTGACAACTAATCAGTAGGATAAGGAGTGGTGTATTTGTGTTTGTTTGGTTGGTTGGTTGGTTGGTTTTTTTGGTTGTTGTTTTTTTGAGGCAGAGCCTCAAGCTGTTGCCCTGGGTAGAGTGCGGTGGCATCACAGCTCACAGCAACCTCTAACTCCTGGGCTCAAGCGAGTCTCCTGCCTCTACCTCCCAAGTAGCTGGGACTACAGGCGCCTCCACAATGCACTGCTATTTTTTGGCTGCAGCCGTCATTGTGGTTTGGCTGGTCCGGGCTGGATTCGAACCTGCCAGCTCAGGTGTATGTGGCTGGTGCCTTAGTTGCTTGAGCCACAGGCGCCGAGCCAAGGAGTGGTATATTAAATACACTTTCTGAAAAGTGGGACCAGGCTTTGATCCAGCCTCAGAGTGTTTCCAAAAACTTCCTGTTCAGTGGGTACTCCCCCCAACTGAGACTGGCATTTCGAAGGAGCCATATTGTTGGAATGTCTGCCCCCTTAGCACCGACATCAGCCCTTTGAGTGTATTCTTGTGCCAGACAGAAGCACATAAGGTACTGGTGTGAGGACAGACACCTCAACATGACACTCTGTTCGTTTTGTGTCTTTATTGCAGACACTCTGCATCATCATGGTGACCCAGTGTGGCCTACTCACCAACAAAAAGGGGCCAGGTAAGCCTGATTTGTGACTTTTCTAGCCCAAGACTGGGCCTTTAGAAGGCATTCTGTTAAAACTTGCGGCATCTGATTTGTCCCTAGTGGCGCTGAAGAGTATCTCTGTGAGCCTGTCCATTCGTGAGTTTGTGGCTGGTGTGTCTGCAACTCTAAACTATGAGAATGAGCAGAAAGTTCCTTTGGAGGCCTTCTTTGTCTTCCCCATGGATGAAGACTCTGCTGTCTACAGCTTTGAAGCCTTGGTAGATGGAAAACAAATTGTAGCAGAATTACAGGATAGGATAAAGGTACTGCGGATGGGCACCCTACTTCTTAGTAATGTGTGTTCCTTAAAATACCTATCAAATGAGAGCTCTTTCCTACACTCCCGCTAACGCCTGTTTTCCTAAAATCATTTGGTGGGGGTGGGAGGGAATCAATCGGAGACATTCATAGGGTAGCCGTGAACTTGACAAGACCAATCAGACTGCCCCCCCCCACACGCACACTTGTTTGCTTTCTGTGCTACTTGTCTGTTCATCAACAAGGTCACCTTTGATGTTGCCTTTCTTTCCCGCCCTCACCGTGTTCTTCACAGGCCCGTGAAAACTATGAGACTGCCATCTCCCAGGGCCACCAGGCCTTCTTATTGGAGGAGGATATGAGCTCCAGGGATGTCTTCTCTTGCAATGTGGGGAACCTCCAACCCGGGTCAAAGGCTGCACTCACCCTGAAGTACGTGCAGGAGCTGTCCCTGGAAGCGGATGGCGCCCTGCGCTTTGTGCTGCCAGCTGTGCTGAACCCTAGATACCAGCTCTCTGGTGCGTACCTGTCCCTTATGAACACTGGTGATGGGTGACTTAATTGGTCCCCTTAAGGTTGCGTGTGGGTGTGCTAAAAAGTAAAACACAACTAAAATAACTTTTTATAGGAAGTTCTCAGGACAGCTGCCTTAATAAGGGACCTGTAGTGCCTTTGGAGGACCTGCCCTACACACTCAGTATGGTTGCCACCATCAATTCCCAGCATAGCATCGAGAAAGTGCAATCCAACTGCGCCTTCAGTCCTCTTCAGTACCTTGGAGATGATAAGACTTCTGCTCAGGTAATTAATGAAGGAGTACTATTTTTGCCAGTATCCCTGTTCCTTGGATCTTAACTTCATCCTCATACAATCCATCCCAAATGTCAACTCAAAGAGAAGTCCTTCCTTACCCCTGTTTAACATCCAGAATTTTCTCTCCATTCTCCCTTCTGCTCCTGATGGTGTTCACTCAAGGAGGAAGCCTGTAGCCCCCAGCTCTGACCTCCGCCCCTGGAAGCAGTTAGTGATAGTTCTAATGGGGTTTCTTTGCCTGTTCCCAACTCAGATTTCCCTGGCTGATGGCCACAAGTATGATCGGGATGTGGAGCTTCTGATTTACTACATCAAAGTGCACACCCCCAGTGTAGCTGTGGAGATGGGGATGCCTGATCTCGGCCCAGGTATTTTGCTTTATAGTCACTTCCTAAGAGGGAACTTCCTGTCTTGGAATTGCCCTGAAATTACCCTCACTTTTTTCTCCTTTCCAGTAGCAAGTAAGACATAGCCATGTGAAATATTGAGGTAAACATAGCTGACTTAATGGCGAACAAAAATGGTCAGACTTATTGAGTATACTTAAATTAATGACACAGCACAACGGTTTATAAACAGGAGATAGTGATCAGTCCTGCAATGCAAATTGTAATGAAATGCTATTTCATTTGAAATACAAATCAAATAATCACGTGATATTTTCGTCTTGCAAATTATCATTTTCCAAACCTATAATGCCTCATGCTTTAAAGCTGTGATGAATTTGGCATTATCATAGATTCCCTGAAGCAAAATAATTTGGTATCAACCTTTTGAGGAGAAATTTGCCTATATGTGTCAAATAAATGTTTATTTTGATGATTTCAATTTTGGGAATCTTACCTAAGGAAAAAAATCTAACTATAAGTAAAAATGTACATTGAGCTGTCTCTTGCCATTTTAATGATAATCTAAGATTAATGAATTATCAAAATATTTTAAAGGGGCTATATTTACTGTGTAAGGTATACTTAGAGGAGTTATCATGTAGCTACTAAAATAGCGTACAGAGGCAGATTTAAATAATTTGGAAAAAAGGCTTCCAAAAAATGTTAAGTAAAAAGAAAAGTAAGTTATACAAGCTAATTACCACTATAATTAGGGAAAACATTTAAAAACACAGAAAACCATGCAAGTGGTAGTTAGGGTTAGATTAAAACTTTTTAAATTTTTCTTTAATAAATAACATTTATTGATTGATTCATCATACCTTCATGCAGTCTTACCTAGAAGAGTTTTGTTTTTTTTTATTGTTGGGGATTCATTGAGGGTGCACTGATTGCATTTGTTAGGTAAAGTCCCTCTTAACAATCGTGTCTTGCCCCTAAAAGGTGTGACACACACCAAGACCCCACCCCCTCCCTCCTTCTGTCTCTTTCTGCTCTAGAAGAGTTTTTTCTTTTTTTTTTTTTGAGACAGAGCCTCAAGCTGAGCCCCTGGGTCGAGTGCCATGGCTTCACTGCTCACAGCAACCTCCAACTCCTGGGCTCAAGCGAGTCTCCTGCCTCAGCCTCCCAAGTAGCTGGGACCACAGGCACCCGCCACAATGCCCGGCTATTTTTTGGTTGTAGCCATTATTGTTGTTTGGTGGGCCCGGGCTAGATTTGAACCCACCACCTTAGGTGTATGTGGCTGGTGCCTTAGCCACTTGGGCCACAGGCGCCGAGCCGAAGAGTTTTTTCTTAATTGTGGTTCTTATTGTGGGAAAATGTGCTTCACAGAATTAACCTCCTTAAATATTTTTAAGTGAACAGTTCTGGGGCCTCAAGTACATTCACCTTGTTCTACAGCCTTGACCACCATCCATCTCTAAGTTTTTTTATCTTGCCCTAGTTTCTTAGTTTATTTTAATGTCTCTTATTCTTAAATTTTTGCATATATAGTAGTTGGACTGTATATAAGATATTTAATTGATGACTGGTGTGCCTTTGTGCTGCCTGAACTTTTCTCTAACTTTTTCCCTACTTGGTCTATATAATTTATTGATTAATTAAAACATACATATATGCACTTTTCCTTACAAGTAAAATTATAACCCATATCAATCTGTTGTGCTCCTGGGGCCTTCCCAGGCTGCCATACTGGTGGATTTCAGGGGTCATGAAGCAGGACTAGGGCGGTACCTGGGCCTCAGTGGGTAGGGCACTGGCCCCAAATACCAAGGGTGGTGGGTTCAAACCCAGCCCCGGCCAGCAACAACAATAAAAAGATAGCCGGGCATTGTGGCGGCTGTAGTCCCAGCTACTCGGGAGGCTAAGGCAAGAGAATCGCCTAAGCCCAGGAGTTGGAGGTTGCTGTGGGCTGTGTGATGCCATAGCACTTTACCGAGGGCGATAAAGTGAGACTCTGTCTCTACAATAAAAAAGCAGCAGGACTAGTATTGCCACTTCTGAAGCCTTTTGCACAGAGTGGGATGGGAGCATCTTTGGTGACGATCATATTTAAAGTGACATGGCTTCTCTCATCTTCTCTCTCTCTCTTGACGCTGGCATTTCAGTTAGGGTCTTGCTTCTGCAATCGTAGCTACTGTGAGGACATTCCCTATAGCTGGTTTTGAGTAAGCCACCTCACTCTCTCATGGTTAATGTTTGGCCAAAGTAGCTTCATATTTGAGCTCACAGCTTGGAACTCTAGTTTGTCCTCTTTTGTTGAGCTCTTCCTCTTCAGGGCCAGATGTCCAAGCTCCCAGCCTCAGCCAAGTTTGCTGGCTCTTCCGTGAAGCTCCATGCTGTCTCTTTGTACAGTGGTTGCTTGTTTTTTTCCTTGCCTTTTGGTATCTCCTTGGGTTCCCGTGAAATATTCCAATCACAGTAACCTTGTCTTTAGTCAGGATTATAGTGAAGGATTGTTTCCCGCAGAGAAAGTTTCATCAAGTTAGATCTTAAAAAGGGAAGGATTGTAATCTCAGTCCCCTTTCTTCTAAGAACTTAGCCCCGGTGTACATTTTCTCCTCTGTTCCCCAGGACCATAGGGAGACAGCAGGCTGTGTTATTCCTTCGAGCAGGGCCTCTCAAGTCTTGCTTCCTATGTCATATATTTCATAAAGATGACTTACTATTCTCTTCCACACTAGGAAGCAAAAACTTAGTGCCAGCTTGGCTCACTGAAAGCATTTAGAGTTCTGTCAAATCAAACCCCGCACTATAGGACAAAAACATAAGACCTTATTCTTTACAAACTTAGAACAGAGGTACTTTCTATGTTAATAACATGATATCTTTTTGAAATCAAATCTGTGATTTAATCAAATAATTGTTCAAAAATAAAATTTAGAAATAATTGTTATAAAATTGTTACAAAGAGCTTAATCTGAGTTGAGCCCTATACCGGGTTCCTTAAGTGTATTATGTCACTTAACCTGATAGTCATCTTGAGGGTGGGTATTATTACTGTGATTCTTCAGATGAGGAAACCGAGATGAGCAAGCAGGGAAGCTAAGGTTTGAAAGGCCACATTTAAAAGCAAGCTGAGACTCATGAAGTGCAAATAGCTTCTGCTTCCAGGAGGGAAGAGCCAGGCTGAAATTACAGTAGATAATCCACATAGAGTGTTTCCTGTTCTTTTTTTTGAGACAGAGCCTCAAGCTGTCCCCCTGGGTAGAGTGCTGTGGCATCACAGCTCACAGCAACCTCCAACTCTTGGGCTCAAGCAAGTCTCCTGCCTCAGCCTCCCAAGTAGCTGGGACCATAGGTGTCTGCCACAACGCCCAGCTATTTTTTGGTTGCAGCCATCATTGTTATTTGCTGGGCCTGGGCTGGATTTGAACCTACCACCTTAGGTGTATGTGGCTGGAGCCTTAGCTACTTGAGCCACAGGCACTGAGCAGTGTTTCCTGTTCTTAGGACGTTGTTCTGGAAATTTAGGTGCAGTAACTCATCATACTCCTAGGAACTTTTCCAACTTCTGCGTACAATGCTAGATTCGTGATAAGCAGCTGTCTCTCAGAATGAAAAGGAATCTACCTTGCCCATTACAAAAATCTTACTCTTCCATCGACTATACAGACATCTGGATTATGTAAACGTTATTTTTGAACTAGCGTTTCATTAGATCTTTGCTGGACCACCATTTTATTTAGAAACCATTTTGGTTGAGTATCCCGTGAGTTAAGAGATTAAACTGACCCATGCCCTGTGATCACACTGAATTTCAGGGCTACTGAGACAATAAATCTGTAATCCCAGAATCACTGTGTAAAGATAGGATGATGCAATTTAATTTTATATTCTCTAAACTATAAAACTAGAGTTGACATAACCCAGCCATTTTCGTTTCTTCTCTCTCTCGACGCTGGCATTTCAGTTCCTACACCAGCTTTCTCTTACCCCTAAAAATAAAGTCATGACTCTGGCTGTGAGAATTTAGCCACAGAGGCAAGGCTCTAATGGTCACTCCCACCCCCTTGTTTGAATGATGCTACGAGAGTCTAACCCACATCCCAGTGCTTCCCTTTCTTCTGGGGACCATCAGCGAGTACTTCATACCAAAGCAAGCAAACCCACCTTGCTGTGTATAACACTATAGTCTCAACTTTTGTAAATTAGCCTAAAAATTGTCCATATAAGTATCATTTTTTTCAAAGCTGTAATTAAAGGCTTAAGCAAGGACCCATGTGTTAGACTAGACTCTCCGTTGGTTTGATTTGAAGAGAAGGTTTGCCTGTGGCGGTAAAAATGTCTGATTGATTTGGTAGACTCTGAAACTTGTTAACCTGATGTCTTTCACGTATTTGCTCAGCAGCCAAGAAAGGGGCATCCAGTCACAATATTTTAATTATTGATTGTGCCTACTAACCTCTGCCCTCTTTCTTCTCTTTCGTATCTGTTCTGATTTTATTTCTTTTGTATGTTTGTAACTTACCTCAAACCCTTTCCAAATAGACAAAGCCTAAGGATCAAACAGTGAGTTCATTACCATTGATTCTTAGGCACTTTTGGATGCAGAAGTTCTTTTTTGTTTCACAGTTTATCTTTTCTTTGTAGATAATTTGCTCGGACAGCCATCTGCAATGGTGAGTTTCTATCCAGAGATCACAGAAGACCAGCCGTCTACTACCTGCGGAGAATTCATCTTCCTCATGGACCGCTCAGGCAGTATGGAGACCCCCATGAGCGGCCAGGGCATAGCTCAGCAGCGTATAGAGGCGGCCAAGGTGAAACTAGTAACTTTCTTTTTTTTGGTGGTGTGCTTAAGAGAGGATAAATCTGAACGGTTAAGTTAGGGAGCATTAGGAGCTGTAGGTCTGTTTTCAGCCTGAGCTACAGGCAGCATGACCACTCTGAGCCTAGCCTTGGAATGTAAGGAATGCAAGGAGCCGTGATGTCCCACACCCTCACCCTGGAGGTAGTAGAATGGCAGGGTCTGTGGATGCCAGAAGAGAGAAGATCGTCTCTCACTCTGCCTCATTCTCTCTCACCTTCAGGAAACACTGATTTTGCTGCTGAAGAGTTTACCCATAGGCTGTTATTTCAACATCTATGGATTCGGCTCTACCTATGAGGCATTCTTTGAGTAAGTTTCTGAAAAAGCCATAGAGAGTCCAAATTGATACTTTAAAAAAAGGGCTTCCTTAGTTGAAGGGCTGTTGCAGAATTTGCCATTGAGGATTTCAGGTAAGATTGCCTTTTGATAGGAGGATCTCAATTCAGGCACTCAGCACTGTGCAGTGTCCAGCGGCCATCGTGTTACTGTGTTATACTGGATGGGTTTGTTTTCCCTAGGCAAAGTGTGAAGTACTCGCAGCAGACAATGACGGAGGCCCTGGAGAGGGTGAGGCTTATGCGGGCAGACCTAGGAGGCACTGAAATCTTGGCACCACTCCAGAACATTTACAGGGTGCCCTCCATCTCGGGCCACCCCCTGCAGGTAAGAATCGGAACAGAGCTAGCAGAAGGGTCAGAGAGATTCTGTTCAAGAGTGGGATTGTTGAAAGATAGTTTCATTCAGAGCCTTATATAGTAAAGGGGAGGGGAAGACAGGGCATTTTTCTTCTTCTTTAACTCCACGTGATGAGCAATGGAAGTTGTTTTGTTGAAGCTAATTGGGGAGGTGCTGAAAATTCCAGGGTTCTGAACAGACCACGTGAGAATGTGATGCTAGTGGCAATGGGACGTTAAGGGTCTCGTGGTTGTTTAAACAGGCATCAGAGCCTCTGCAATGAAATAGTTGAGCGTTTCAAGGGCAAATTCTGTTCGCTTAAAATGAACTTGATGCAAGCTTGATGAGCATTTTCTTTCTTTGTACAGCTTTTCGTCTTCACAGATGGAGAAGTTAATGACACATACAGTGTAATTAAAGAAGTTGGAATGAATAAGCATAAACACAGGTATGGAGAGAATGCGATTTCTGGGTGGCTGTGTCCACATGGTGCCCTGTGTCATCTGCTGCTGTGTGTCATTTAGTGTTGATATTTCTTGTAGAGGACAGAACGGTTCCACAATTTTAGTTTTAGCAGCTGAATATTTATTACTGACTACAAAAATTAATTTTCCAAAGAACATCAACACAGCAGAATCTTCATCCCTTATTCTTTTCTAAACCACAGCGGAACAAGATTTGAATAGGAAGATGTGGTCCACGATGTTGCCCAATAATGTTATTAAATTTCATAGGCTCTGATCACCCTTTGAACATCTTGAAAAAACAGTTCTACATTTCATATGGAACCAGAACAAAACCCAAATAGCCAGTGCAGTTCTATGAAATAAGAACAAATCTGGAGGCCTCCTTATCAGGCTCAAGGCTATATTACTATAAGTCTATGGCATAGAAGTCAAAACAGTATGGTAACTGGCATAAAAACGGAAACATCAATCTCTGGAACAGAACAGAGAATATAGAGATGCAGCCAGCCTCATTTTGACATCTGATCTTTGACAAGGCAAAGGGAATCACACACTGGGGAAAAGCATCCCTATTCCATAAACGGTGCTGGGAGAACTGGTTAGCCACATGTAAAAGACCGAAACTGGACCTGCATCTCTCACCACTTAACAAAAAGTAACTCCCAATAAATGAAAGCTTTTAAATTTAGGACACAAAACTAAAAAGACCCTAGAAGGAAGTATAGGAGGCAATCTTACCAGCCTAGGGAAGGACGACTGACTAGTGCTCCCGTGCCATCTCTGTTATTAAGTAGTGTGGCCTGGGATAGGTTTCTTAACTTCTCTGGGCCTCAGTTTCTTAGCTGCAAAATGAAGGTAGAAGCCTGCCTATCAGGGGTACTGGGATGATTAAATGGTAGGCCTTTTCGTAGCTCCTGAAATAGAGAAAATGCTCAGTAAATGGTAGCTATTGTACTTTTATCAAGAAAGTAGCCTCTGTCTTTACATCCCTCTGACTATTAGGTGCTAAGTGTACAGCTCCGCCCCTTTGCGCCTGTCTCTGATCTTCATGCTTTTACGCTTGCAGGTGTTTCTCTTTTGGTATTGGAGAAGGTGCCTCCACCAGCCTAATAAAAGGCATTGCCCAGGCGTCAAGAGGCACGGCAGAATTTATCACAGGCAGGGAGAGGATGCAGTCCAAGGTGAGAGAAGGGCTGTGTGTTCAGAGGTGACACTCTAGACCTCGTGTGGAACAGGGTGGGAGACCCTGCAAGTGCAAGGGGCAGCAACCTGCCCCTGGGATGCCATTTTTATATGCCCAGGGCCTTGCACTGTATACTTAGTAGGACTACTTTCAGCCTACTGTAAAGGGGAAGCCCTGTAGTATCCGAAGAAATGGCATCTGGTCCATCTGTAGCTGAAAGGCCAAAAACGAGATGCTGAAAGAGATTAGAGCCTTTGCATTGAAGAGCAGAGACAGAGAAACTAAGAGTTTTTTGGCTGTTGTGATTGAGATTCTAAGTCTGTGCTTTAGGACTTCTTAAATCTTCATGCAAAGATACAAAGAAGAGGAGAATGAACAAGTGTGATCTAACAGATTGGAAGAGGTGGGAAAGTGATACTCCATTTAGTCAGCCTGCACAACAAGGCGTCTTGTTATCCAGCCACTCTTTTTCACTTGATCCGTCTCTCATCTAATCCTCTTCTGCAAAAGTCTTGTTCCTAAACATTTCCTTCTTTCATATCAATGTTACTCTATCTGTGAGCTTTAGCTTCCTCGTGTGTAAAGCAACAGAAAGAAGTAGGCATGACATAGATAGCGTGGTATTTTATATGTAATACATAGTCAATTAATAGTACCTACACTGTTGGTTATTTTTTTTCACTGCTTGTTCTGTTCCTTTCCTCCATTAGGCTCTTAGGACCCTGAAGAATTCTCTGCAGCCTGCGGTGGAGGACTTATCTGTGAGCTGGGATTTGCCTGCTGGTCTGTCTGCTAAAGTGCTTTCCCCAGAACAGACTATCATCTTTAAGGGTCAGAGGTTAATCATCTACGCCCAGTTGTCTGGAGTGATGCCAGTGAGTCTCCATTTTTGTCAGTTCCTCTAGTTGGAGAAGCTACGCTAGTGACAATTTCGTGAAAACTGGTGGGTGGATTTGGATCTCAAAGGAAGAGATGGCACTTGCCAGGTAGCACCAGCCAGCCCGTGGCCTCCCCCGTCAATCCTGGTTTTCTGGGCTGTTTGATTGTTAGTCAGGGATTTTCATGGATTGTGGTGGGGACCTGCTCCCATTTTAATCCTGTTCTTGGTGGTCTCCTCCTTCTGTTACTTCTACTTTTCTCTAATTTGTAGGCAGCAGAGACAACAGGACACGTTTGCCTCAAGTATGCATTCCACGGCAAGCATTGCGAGGATAAGGTGACATTCTCTTTACAACCCAAGACTGATGCCAAGTGAGAATTCTGTTTTCCTTTGCAATTCTATTCCTCCCTCTCTCTCTCTCTCTCTCTCTCTGTCTCTTTCTGCCACCCCTGGAGGTTGAATTTCTTTTCATAATTTTGGGCTCAATCACTTTTTATTTCTAAACCACCCAAGTCTTATCTCTTCTCCTTATCTGAATTTTTCTTCTCACTGCTGTTTCTAACTTTTAAGAGCTCCAAGTGACTGTCCTGTTGGGTGTTTTCCCCATAGTTTCATGATTTATTCTTTTCTTCTTTCAGCCTCACCATTCACCGCCTTGCTGCCAAGGCCTTTATCCAGAGCATGGACCTGGGTTTCATGGAGACACCAGCAAGTTACAGAAAAGAAGTGTTGAACACCAGCCTTGAGACTGGTGTCATTAGCTCCTTCACAGCTTTCATTGCCATCAACAAGGAGCTCAACCAGCCAGTTCAGGGGCCCTTGTCTCAAATGGACATTCCAAGGCCAGTTCTGCTGCCCCGTCTCCGTGGAGGTGGTGAGTTGTTTTGTTTGTTTGTTTTATTGTTGGGGATTCATTTGAGGGTACAAAGAACCAGGTTACATTGATTGTATTTGTTAAGTAAAGTCCCTCTTATAATTGTGTCCCACCCCCAAAAGCTCTGTCACACACTGAGACCACGCCTCTTCCATCCTTTCTTCTCTCTGCTCTCCCCTCACCCCAATCCCCACCATGTACGAGGTCATTAATTGTCCTCCTGTCAGAATTGAGTACATAGGATTCTTGCTTCTCCATTCTTGTGATGCTTTATAAAGAAGAATGTGTTCTACTTCCAGGTTAATACAAAAGATGTAAAGACTCCATCTCTTTTAATGACTGAATAGTATTCCATGGTGTACATATACCACAGCTTGTTAATCCATTCCTGAGTTGGTGGGCATTTAGGTGGTTTCCACATTTTGGTGATTGTAAATTAAGTTGTGATAAACAGTCTAGGACAAGTGTTCTTATGGTAAAAGGATTTTTTTTTCCTTCTGGATAGATGCCCAGCAATGGGATTGTGGGATCAAATGGGAGGTCTAATTTGAGTTCCTTTAGGGTTCTCCATACTTCCTTCCAAAAAGGTTGTTTTAGTTTGCAGTCCCACCAGCAGTGTAAAAGTGTTCCCTTCTCTCCATATCCACGTCAGCATCTGCAGTTTGGAGATTTTGTGATGTGGGCCATTCTCAGTGGGATTAGACGATATCTTGGAGGTGGTGAGTTTTATCTCATTCAGCCTCTTACAGAACAAAAGGTCCTGAGTGTTTGAGCACAATATTTAAAGGAAATGGTGGTGAAACATTCTTAAATTGTCTTGTTCTCCTTGTCTTTCCACATCTGGCTAATGTTAAACTTCTCTGTCCTAGGGAACTAGAACATCGCATTAACCAGGAGATTTAATATAATCCAAGTGAAAAAAAACAAAACAAAAAACCAGAAAGTGCACATAAGCATTGACTAATCAAACTGTCAAAATATGAAGTAGATTTATCTTCTTTTTTAAAAGAGCAAGCAGCTTTATTGAGATACAATTCACATATCATACAATTCATCCATTAAAGTCTATAGTCCAATGGTTTTTAGTACATTGTGCAGCCATTGTCAAAATTAATAAAATCAATGTTAGAGCGTTTTCATCACCTAAGAAAGTAAGTCCATTGCCATTAGCAGTCATTTCTTCTCCTGACCCCCACCTTGCCTCTCCTCCAACCCGTTCACCCCTCTCCCATCCCAGGTAATCAAACACATACCTGCTGTCTGTCTCTCTACATGTGCCTAATCTTTTATATCTCTATGTATTTGCCTATTCTGGACCCTTTTTCCTTCTGTGTAACTGTAAAATTGCATAACCTTTGGCCAGAGTCCTCCCATTCTCCCACTCTTTAATTACCACGCCTCTGGTAACCATCATCGTACTTACTGGCCACTTCCATGAGGTCATCATCTTCCTGTGTGAGTGAGATCGTGCAGCGTTTCTCTTTCTGTGCCTGGCTGACTTCACTTAACATCATGTTATCCAGGTTCATCCTCATTGTCTCAAATGGCGGGATTTCGTTCTGTCTTAAGGCCGTGTACCGTTCCATTGTATATGTTTTCCACATTTTCAATATCTGTTTATTCACTGGACGCCTGTGCTGATTCCAGGTCTTGGCTGTTAGGAATAGTGCTCCATAAACCATGGGGGTGCAGAATTCTCTTCCACATACTGATTTCAGACCTTTTGATAGACCCACATATCCAGTAGAAGGGTCATTGTTCTCTTTTTAATATTTCAAGAAGTCTTCGAGATGTTTTCCAGAATGGGTTTACTAATTTATATTCCTACCCAGAGTATGTAAGGATTCCATTTTCTTCATATTCTCACCAACACCTATTATCTTTTTTCTTTTTGATAATAGCCATTGATATTTCATTATGATTTGATTTGTATTTTGCTAAGTGATACTGGACTTGTTTTCATATGCTTATTGGCCATTTGTACATTTGTACATACTCTTTTGAGAGATGTCTTTTCAAGTCTTTTGTCTGTTTTTTTAAATAAGGTTATTTTTTTCATGCTATTGAGTTATTTTAAGTTCCTTGTATATTTTGGATATATTAGCCCCTTATTGATTGCCTGTTTGGTCTGCCTGTATTTTCTCCCATTCTGCAGGTTGTCCCTTGATTATTTCCTTTGTGACCCAGAAGCTTTTTAGTTTGCTCTAATCTATTTGTCTACTGTTGCTTTGTTGCCTGTGCTTGGCCATATCCCAAAAACTATTCCCCAGAGCTTTCCCCCTGTTTTCCTCCAGTAGTTTCACAGTTTCAGATCTTACAGTTAAGACTTTAATCCATTTTGAGTTAGCTTTTGCTTATGACGTGGAATGAAGGTCTAGTTTTACTCTTCTGCGTGTGTATATCCAGTTTTTTCTACACAGTGGGTAAAGAGGCTGTCCTTTACCCATTATGTATTCTCAGCAACCCTTTCAAAAATTAGTTGGCTATAAGTGTATAGATTTATTCCTGGGCTTTCTGTTTGGTTCCCCTGGTCTAGGTATCTGTTTTTATGCCAATACTATGCTGTTTTGGTTGCTGTAGCTTTGTAGAATATTTTGAAGTCAGAGAGCATGCTGCATCTAGGTTGTTTTGTTTTGTTCAAGTTTTCTTTGACAATTTGGGTGTTTTATGATTCCATACAATTTTTTGGATTTTTTTATTTATGTAAAGAATGTCATTGGTATATTGACAGGGATTACACTGAATCTGCAGATTGCTTTGGTAGTATGGACATTTTAACAATATTCTTCTAATCTGCAAACATAGGATATCTTTTTTTTTTTTT